AAGCTACTCTTTAGCAGGCAGCTCTCAACATTCTCCATAGATAAATGACATGAAAAAAGCAAATATATCTTGTTTTATTTTTTATTCTTCTGAAGGATAATTGTTATTCTTTTTCTGCTGCCTTATGCACCTGTATTTGCCCTCCTGTGGCATTAATCACTTCATTAGTTCCAATTCTAACAATCAGACTCTATAAATCATGAAAAGATTACTCTCTGGTGTATCATCACCTCCATCTTTTCTCTTATGCATCCTTCACTCCATCATGTCTGACACGTTCACTCTTTCCTAAGTGGGATATGATTTAATGCATACTGTGGATCCGTGTTGCTTCTCACCTAGAGACTACCTAACTGGTCATTCAAGTCCTGGCCCAGAGCTGGGCCCTAACCCCTCCCTCAGGGTATCCCAAACTTTAATTTGGTCCCAATATGTGGCAGGGTATCCCAGAGTATAATGCATTGCCACAAGAAATTTGGAATAAAATTCTTCAAGTCCCTCAATCCTCATGTTGACCTGTTACTGGGGTCACCTATTCCAGGATAACATGCACCAGAAATGCTTAATTTCCTTTCTGCTTAAAATCAAACCACATGCTCTTAAAGAAATCTTTTGCAGAATAATTCTCTAGAAAAATAGTAGTAGATCCCCAACTTACCATCAGTATATCCCTTCCTCCTTTCATGCTAGAAGACTACCTATCACAGTGATCTAAGAAATGCTACTCTCTTAAATAAAGACCATCATGACACCTCTACCTTATCCTGATACTGAGAAAGGTGACTTTTTACTTTTTCTATTCAAAGTTCCAACAATGCTGAATTGGTACTTGTTTAATTCAACTGTCTTGGCCCTCAGTGCTTCCAAGAGTGAATACTTTGGCATCCCCTTCCAAAGACCCTTTTCTATAAACTGGTAGGACCTGCTACATTTCCTGCACACTCATGCCTGTCCCCTCTAATAGGAGTGACTATGGCAGCCAGCAACTATTCTTTTATCACCAGTTTCTCTGGTAACTTGGATGTAATGACTCTCAGAATTTCATTTACTGTAACATTTTGTCTCACTTCCCTATGGCCAAGGGATTTATTTCTCTGTGGAAATAATGTCTACTTAACCCTTCTACCCCAATGGTTGGGAACTTTTCCCTTGGCATACTTGTCTACTCTTACTCTGATCTTTGGAGACACCTTCTCTCCCTTCCTCTGACCATCAAGCTTGAGGTTCGTGATTGATATTCTTCCTTGTTGCTTTGGTAATTAAAGTGGGAATTTCTACAGGAATGGAAGGAACAATCTCACATCAATGATATATTCTAGTCTCTCAAACAGTTAAGCCTTTACATCCAGGAAACTGTTGAAGTTCTATCTGCTTTATAAAACCAGATTGACTCCTTGGCAGGAGTTGTCCTTCTGAACCATCAAGCCCTCAACATGCTTACAGCAGCTCAAGGAGGTACTTGCCTCTTCCTCCAGGAAGACTGTTTATATTATATTAGCAAATCTGGCATGGTCCAAGACAATATAAAAGATCTGCTAGATCACACAATTCACCTAAATAGGTCTCTACAGGACAGCGATCTCTGGGATTGTCATGGAACAGCCTCAGATGGCTCCTCCTGCTCCAGAAACCCCTAACCATAATACTTCTAGCATTGATTTGGGGTCTGCTCATTTTAAAGTGCTTAGCCTCACTCATAGCTTCCAAGTTAAAGGAACTCTACTTACAGTTAATGGTCTGTGAGAGATTCTAATCACTTTCTCTGGAGGAACAGATATCAGGCCCTAGTCTTTGAACAAATCTGTCACCATCATTTACTATTCAACTAGTCCCAATTCACCCAATTAGCTAGTAAGGAAGATGATCCCCACAGGTATAGTCTTTGGATTAACTTGTCACCATCTTTTATTATTTAAGTGGCCCCAATTCACCCAATTAGCTAGCAAGGAAAATGAACCCCACAGATATGTGCATCTTCAGCTCAAAACAGCTATAGAGGAGGAGACCATTCACCCTTTTCTCCTTACAAACATATAAGGGTCTATTTTCCTTGACAGATGAAAAATATGGGGTAGTCAGAAAGTGAATAACAATACAAAGAATCTAGGGAATAAGTGCAACATCACATCTTGAGTATATTTTGCCAAACATACTGCTCCATCATTGTCCTTGAGTAGTGGTTGACTACAGTTGAAGCTACTTCTTAGAATTGTGGCCAGTCATCCTCAGCAATGACCCCAACAGGGACTTTCTCAATTCTTGAGATTAGCCAGAACCCTCATTTATATCTTATTGTAGTTGATATTATATACCTCCCTTCCAATTGACATCTTGGCTCTGAGCATACCGTATTAGATAAACTACTCCCCATTTCCTAGTTTGTGGAAATGCCTTCCATTTCTTGGAAAACTCCATAATTATGTACATATACTTATCATGATAACTAGCATAACTAAATCCTATGTATAAAAGTGCCAGGACTGGGAGTTCAGCACATTGGTCTGCATGGTCAAGCTGCCTGCCCTTAAGTTTCTCTGGGTTTGTATTATTGCTTTATGAGCCTTCTGGTTTAATAAATTGTTAAGTAAATCTGCTTGTTAAAGAGTCATCTGTGTGTCCACCCCTGAATTGTTCCTTTGGTGAGACCAAGGACTTGTCAGCCATTTTCCCTAATAAAATAATAAAAAAATCAACCTCAAATAGAGAATCATCAATGAATAGCAGTTTTCTTTTTCAATTTTTGCTGGTGTCTGTTTCAAAAGAGAAGGGTAGCTCAGGAATTAGCAGATAATATGGTTTTTGCCTACCTTTTTTAGTTTTCATTGACTGCTCCTTGTGGACACTGTAGTATTTCCATTCATCGCTCCTCACTGTCACCAAGTTAATCCCAGCTCTTTACCATTACACTCAGTGCTCCTCTCTCTTCCCACACAGTCGAAATCCTGAGCATCACACTCTTGGGTTCCCCTGTGGTTTCTGCTTTCATAGTGTTCCTTCAGAACAACTGCAGTAACAAATTTGTTTAACTCTTCAGTAAATGCCTGTCCTTTCTACTAAAACTTAAAAAATGTGAGAGTAGCAATTTTTTTGATTCACCATATCCTTATCAGTGCTTGATTCTTAGAAATTTGGTAATGTTGGATAATGGTCTATGGACTAGAATGCAAACTCCTGAAACATAACTCATATTTATTATCTCTTACATTCATTAGTGAGTAAAGCCTCATATGTATGGAGATAATGTGGGTTGAATTTTTAAATGTAAAAGAATAATCTCTTATGAGAAGAAATTGAGAATTATCCAGATGTAACTGTGAATTCAAACCCAAATGAACAGGTTTAATAAAAACATAGTTAGGTTTGTTTTAGTGATTATTTCAAGTGTTATGAGAACACAAGTTAAGACTTGTGAGGTTTTACTGATCAGTATCAGGAGCAGGATTCTTGCTTTCTTCTTGATATGTAAACATTAGGACAGTATTAGGAAGATTATCAGTTTAAGCCACTTTTGATAGATCATTCAGAAGTTGCATCTTATAGAAAGTAATGCTTTCTTAGAGTATAATTAAATTTTGGCTATTCACTGCTGTAATTTGGAATGTTGGCTGTGATCTTGAAGTTCTTAACAATGTTTGAAGTATTTTTCTTCTGTTCATCATGTTGGACACTGAAGTACTGCTGTAAAGATTTCTGGTATTTGAGTATCAAATAAGAAGCAGGATACTTCAATATTTTATTTACTTTGTTATTTAACAGCTTAATCTTATCACCCTAAAAGCAGAACTACACTTGGATATGTGAATGAAAATGTCAGATAACTCTTGAATATGTGAGTGAAAATATCCAGGTAAGATATTCTCTTCAACTGATAAATACTAAGTTGTGGTTAAAACTAAGAAGTATAGCTTGTCAAAAAAGTGTAATTTTGGAGAAGGTAGTTTCAAATTCTTCATGAAAGAAGAATTAAATGTCCAGGAAGAAATGCTGATGCTTCCTAAAATGTTTGAACCAAAGGTATTATTTTGAATGCTATATTCTTCATAGGTAATTGTTCAGAAATTATGAGAAACTAGCTTACACAAGCTTATGTTTACAAGTCTTTGTTTTACTCTCCTTCATAAAGAAGACAAACTGGGAAATAATATAAGATATTCCATCCCCCAAAAGATCAATCATCTTTTTAAATCCATTCTGCAAAAACTATTTTTATAGTTCTTCTGAACTTATGTAAGGATTAATATTCAGGAACAAGGCTTCAAAATCTAAGCCATGTTTCATTGTTTGCATTTACCTTGGATTTTAACTAGATGTGCAAGTTGACTTCTGACCATGGGGAATCCTCTCCATGCATGGATTATGGATTGTTGAGGCCATGGCAGATAACCAATTCCACAGAAGCAACTTCATGCTCTTCTGAGGAAGATCCATAGCACTGTGGAACAAGGAATATAAATGAGCGATGCCACGAAAGACTGAAAATAGGGTTACCAAAATACAACCCTGAAAAATGAACTCTGAAGGTGGACAATCTACAAGGAAAAAAACTGTGTAGAAAAATCATTTTAAAATAGCTTCAGTTATAAGAGCACTGGTAGACATTCAATAGCTCCTGATGTAATAGTCAAAATATCTGTTGATTCTAAGCTCAGTAAGTAGGTACGTTATATAAATTTGGATTTTTTTTCAGCCTGTCCCGAATTTTTCATAAAAAACTTAATTGTCTAGAAGGGGAAAACAGTAAATGAAAATATTCAAACTGCAGTAATAAAATATTTGGCCTTTAATCATTTCCAATAAAATTGTATCTGCAGGCTCCCCTACCCCCACCCATAGTCATACAACAAACACACCAATGTTTAAGTATTTTATAATGGCCAAAGAAGGGGTTTACATCGATATGTTTATTAATGGAACTCACTTCTGAGTTGTTTTTAATAAGTTGCTAATTCATTTTAGCCTCAAATCAGTTCCATCCCATTCCTCAGTTCCTTTCCAGATGTCTAATTGTTAAGGTCCTGTAGCATAAATAGAGCTTCCTGTGACACTTTGGGAATTATCTGTTCCGAGTTTAAGTAAGTATAGTTTATAAAGTTCTCCCTCTCTTCTTCTGCCCCTACTAACATTGATAAAGGCATTTCCAGAGGCAACTGATTTTCTTCCTCTCTCTGCTCTTCCTCCTCCAGCCCTTCTTCTTCCAAGCCCTCCTCTTCCAACACTTCCTCATCTTCTGCCCCCTCCTCCTCATGGTCAGCCTCTTCCACCTCCTCCTCCTCTTCCTCCTCCTCTGTCTCTCCATTTTCCTCCTCCTCTTCCTCTTCTTCCTCCTCCTCCTCCTCCTCCTCTTCCTCGCTCTCCTCCTTTCCATGGCACACCTCCTCGTCACACTCATTATTTTTCTCCTCTTCCTCTTCCTCCAGCAGCTGTGGGGTGGGAGACTGGTTTTGCTCCACTGGGGCAGGACTGAAGGCTAGCAAGGGATCCTGCAGGAAGTTGTACAGGGTACCCTGCAGCTCTGAATTTTCCTCGCCGCCGGTAGGGGGCGCACCATTGCCGCTGAAGCCTGGCGGGGAGGTGGAGCCACGGGCCTGGGCCTGCTGCGCCCGCAGCGCCTCCTGCTGGCGATCCAGCTTCTCTTGCTGCCGCATGTCTTCGTAGATCTGGTTCATGATGAACTGGGTGGTGTTCCGCGGCGCTCTCATGCCAGGCGCCCGCCACCCGTACAGGTTGACCGGACGCAGCAGCTTGCTTAGATCTACCGGCGGGCTCCTCGGGAAGGAGCGGTGAGGGGCGCGGCGCAGGCCACGACCCCTGCGGCCCCAGCGCCTCTTTCTACCGGGGGGCCTGGCCCAGCCGGGGTTCCAGGGCCCAGGCCAGCAGGAGCAGCAGCAAAGACAGAGAGGGTGCAGACCATACACCCGAATCATTTGCACCGGGCAGAGCGGACTCCGGAATCCCGCCAGAGGAGGGTGCCAGGGCCCGCCGCCGCAGCGCCCCCAGTTAGAGTACAGGGCCCAGTAGGGCCGTCGGGGTGGTTGGAACCAAGGACCCGGGCCGTGCTGTTGCTTGGGCTGTTTCCTGGGCGGCTCATACTCGGCCTTGGGGCCATAGTGGTGTCGCCCCTTGTAAATCGGAGCTCCCCGGCGCCTTCGATGGTTGGATGACCAGGTGCGTAAGGGGGCAGAGGACGACCGGCCACCACCCAGATTAAGAGGGTCTTCCCTTTTATTGAGGGTCTGGGTCATGATTCAGGGAGCTCCAAGAGGTGTGAATGGTAGCGTCTCAGAAGCTGTCTTCAAGTTTGGCCAGGTCCGACGGTCTGAAGAGCCTCGTCAACCGGTGTCTAAACACCGCCACGTGCCTGCACGCCGGGATAGCGCCTTCCTCTCCCCTTGCTCGTCTTCCGTCGTACTCGCTTCTTCTTCGCACCCGGGTTGTCTTGCCCAAGCGGGTTGGGTGGGACTGGGGCTGGGTAAGATGGTGGGGGAGGAAGGTGTTGGTGGATGACACGCACTGAGAGCCGCTCCCGGGTCCCGCACACACCCGCCTCAGCAGAGGCACGGGCCGGGGACTGGGGAGGCGGGGGTTGCGCGTTACCTTGTTGGTCCCTCTCAACCCGGGTGCTTCACCGTCGCGGTCCTGGCCGGACTGAAGTGGCGCTGGCAGCAGCGGCCTTTAAATACCTGCAGGGGGCCCTCGTGCCCACTGCGTCCTTGGTTGCCCTGGACGACAGCCAATTAGGGTCGAGATGGTGCTCCCTCTGTGCGAGGTGGGGGTTCCATGAACATTCGTAGGCGGCTTGTGACGCAGATTTTGAGGGGGTGAGGGGAGAGGTGCCAAGATGAGGTCTGTGCTGCCCAACCTAGGCAACGCCGAAGCCGTTTGTTTGAACCCAGGAGCCAGGTGGGGGTGGGGTGGACGATGGTTGGAAGATGGATCCTCAACTGAACCTGCGTGGACTGGGAACTTAGATATTGAAAAACATATAGTCTATACCTTTGTGGCTGGCAGGGGTGAAGAAAAACGTCTACAATAGAAAATCTCAGCCCCACTCCTTACCTTACAGCCGGTGCCCACTGTTTTAATTCCCGGAGTCAGAATTCAGCGTGACATGAAACGTGGCCACATTTATTGCGTGTGCTTCCTGAGCACAGGTGTGTTCATGGCACGTAATCCTCACGTCTACCTTGAGAAGTGGTTACTGCTTTTCACAGATTAGGGAACTGAGAGGTGGTTTTGTCTGAGGTGGGGCTGAAGAACTTCAGGGCTGGTCTTTAAGGCTAAACTTGTTTAACAACAGAGAAAAGATCTTAACGACATTGCTACATCTCAACTCACCTCAATTCAAACTCTTTTGATGAGTATATTACAATTAGCACTTTGCTAATTGTAATATTCCATACATACGTCCCTTGATTATACAGACATTATTACCAGGAAGAATACCATAGGCTTATTCTTCAAAATATAGAGATATTTGGATCATGTCTTTCCTTTTGTTCGTTCACCATAAAAAAATATTGAAATATTGCGTGCCTTTAAATATCATGGTTAAGCATATGGGTTGTGATTTAAATAAACGTGATTCAAACTTCAACTCGTGTTTGTTATCTCTGTAAGTCTTATCCATCCCGTCAGTATGGGTGTGTTATAGTATGTCTTTCACAGTGTTGTCAGAAGGATTAAACGAGCACTAAGCAAGGTATCCCTACATACTAAGTAACTTACTAGCATGATTATCATATTTATCTACTCTAAGACTTTTAAAGGAGGTGGCACAGTGTATGCAGACACCTAACCCTGTGCCTGATACAACAATAGGCACTTTTGTGTCCTTTTCTTGCTCCACTTTGAAGAAACAAGGAACTGTAACCAGACTTGATCCTAGAGAAAACCCTACCAGAGTATTTTCCTCTTTTTCTTTCCCTCTGTGAATGGAACTGTACAAAATAGAATATTGCTCCCTGGGAACATCAGTCCATTGAATGCCAGAGGAGTAAAAATGTGCAAAAGCCCTCAAACTTGTAAAGCTTGCATTCATGGCTGAAAATTGAGAACAGTGTGGGAGTTCTTGGGTCAGGACTCCAAAGTTTGCCTTGAGACCTGTAGACTCCACAGGCTTCATTCAATTTCACTTGCTCTGTTGTTTGCTGAAAACAAGCCTTCTCTACTCAAAGTACAAAATGCTGTCCCTTTTGTCCACCAGTATTGTCCCCTTCTACACAGACTCTCACCTTTGACAGTTACGCTAGCCCTGCTCTGATTAACACAAACTAGCACAGCAATAATTCTATTTTTCTAAGGACATATGTGTCAAACGGTATGAATTTTCATGGAAACTTTATAAATTGATCATTTTGCTGTAGTGAATTCCCATTTTCTTTTTGCTTTAAAAAAGATGATTTATAGATAGCTAAGGACATTACTTTTTTGCTCACTTGATGTGCCTTTTATACAAATCGTATCAGCTTATCTTACTCTGTCTACGAAAGTCATTAGCTCTTACCCTACTCTTCTTAAGAGAAGGAGCTAATTGTCCTTTATGATTTTTTAATTTTTTTTCAGAGATTGGGATTATAATACAGATCTTTTATGTACCATTAAACTACCCAGGACAATTTACTTCCAGAGTATGTTAAATATAAGTCAGAAGTGCAACTTAGGACTGTGTAAATGCATACTTTAAATTGATCTAGATTCTTTAAATATTGTAAAATGTATTCTGATTCAATTTTAAAATAAATTTACCATGTTGTTATAGATTATAGTTGTTTTCTCATTTTGTATAACAAACTACCATAAACTTCGTTATTTATAACAAAGCACATTTGTTAACTGACAGCTTCTGAGTGTTAAGGTCCAGCTTAGCCCATCCTTGCTCAGGATCTCCACAGGCTATCCTCAAGATGTGGGAAATCCACTCCAAGATCATTCATGTTTTTGGCAGAGCTCATTTACCTGTAGCTCTATGACTGAGGATCCTGCCATTTGCTGTCTGTTGGTTGGAAGCCACCTTCAGAACTTAAAGACCTCCCACCAGTCCTAGGGGCAAGCAGCATTAGTTCCTCAATACCACTCGCAGTTCCTTGCTATAGGCTTCTTCAACATGGCTGCTCATTTCAGCCAGCAAAGAGAACCTCTCTAGTTATTACTAATAAGATGAAAAAATATATATATATGTAGGTATCTGTATACCATACATATATTTTTACACATGTGGATATATACAGAGAGCTATAGATATAGATACAAATACATACAATACATTTGTGATTATCTATGTGTCATAACCTTGGGTACTGCATTTGTGCTGTCTATATCATCTTTGCTAATTCTGTTGGTTAGAACCAGGATTCAGATCCCCCACCAGCACACAAGATAGGAGTGGCTCCCAGAAGTTGTTCCTCTTTTGTGACTTGAAAGAAGTAAATAGGTGGGGAAAGGAAGTTATGAATATGGGAAGGCAGAAAGTCATTGAGGCCACCTTTGCCTTACATAAGAAGAAAATCCAGTAAAACATTTCTAAAATATGCCTTTTATTTTCACTAGTTACCTTACTTTAAAAACTTGAATGTCATCATTGGCATTTTGAAATTCCAATAAATAATTTTTGATGACATTAATTATGCTATATTTTATATGTGCACAGCGTTGTATTTCTAAAAACAAAATACATTGCAATCTTAGTGCTAGAATTCTAACACTTGGTGGCAGTAACAGCTCATTCAAAATTCAGTCAGCAGAGACCTTGTTCAAAAAAACCTGTTTTTATAATTCCATTTTAAACCATTCTGGATCGACCATATTAATACCATTTATTCTGATGCAGTGGAATTGAATATATTTATTAAATTTGAGTTTTTTGGCTTTCAAAAGTAAACCTTGGCTGATTAAGCATGTAAATAAACTTAAGAGAAGTTGATTATACCTGATATATTTTGTCAGATAAATGAAATTCAACAAGTAATTGCTTAGATACATCTACATAACTAATTCTATGCTATCAAATGTAAATATAAATAAATAAGTAGAACACATGTTGAAAAGACTTGTCTTTTTCACACCAAAGACATTCATTTGCATACAAGAATTTAAAACTAAAAAGGTCAGCACCATCTTGTGGTCACAGAGACTAACTACAGTAAAGTATTAAGCTTTTCTAGCTTTTAAGAGGTGAGGTAAAGACTCATTACTCATTACAAGCTCTTAATAATTTGAGAAGTTAAGGAGTCATTTGATTCTCACAAATTGTGCATCTGGGAACATCATTGTGATTTTCTCCATTAATGAATCCTCAAATCATTTTAAGCAAATTTAGAAGAGAAATTTACTTTTATGATAATTACAAAGACAGAGTTTCTGCTGGTTTAAAGACAAGTATGGATGTCAGTTTTACACTTGTAACAGTATATGTATAGGGATTATTTGCCACCACCTTTTGAAGATACAATTTATCCTGTAGCAACTCAAGATTTTCAGAGAATTAACACCACAGATAGTAGTCTGAAAAATATGTATACTCAGTAATGACTAAGTAGGAATTGTTTTGCTTACAAATAATCTTAAAGTATAACATATTCTCAGAAAATAAAATTCAATGAGGTCTTTTTCTTGCAAATGACCTGAAATATTTAGAGAACAATAAACATGCAGCAATCAAATAAAGAAAGAAGTTGGATTATTAAAAATTATATTGTGCTTGATCAGGGATCAGTTTTATTTAAAATTAGAGCTGCAAATTTAGAGTGTGAAGCCATTTAAATATGGTACAGTTGCAAGGATTGCTGAGATGTCATCATCACATTTCCAAGGTCAGAGTAAGCACATTTCCTTCCAGAGCTCAAGTGAAGAACCTTTAAGAAGTAGCCTTTTGAGTAAGCAGTCATAGTGCTCATGCAAACTAGCACCATCATCTTTGATAATAGTGCATCTATCATCCCCCTGATTTTGTAATGATGGTGGGCAGAGAAAGCTGTGAGGACAGGCAGGCATTTAATGCCATTTGTAGGGGGATCTGATATCAGTAATGTTCTGTTGGCATAGCCTTATTATGACTTTCATGGCATTGTTCCTCCACAAAATGAAAATATTAAAAGTGAAATATTTTGTGGCTTGTTGCTGAAAAGAATATAGTGTGTATTAAACTGATTATTGAATATTATTCTCATTACTATATTCTCTTTTTTATTTTAAAAGACATTAAACAGTGTCATAGGTTCCTAAAATTATTGTTGCTCCTGTGCTTAATAAATAAATTAGTCTGCCTGCTCTAAGCTGCTTTTCACAGTCATGACACGAGGATCTCAATCCATCTTCCTGCTGATATTCTAGAGGCCAGGTATGGGGGACTACTTTGACCCCCAGAAATGGTTCCTCTTTTGTGACTTGAAAGAAAGCCATTGATTCTTTGGAGGTCACTTTTACATACAAAAAAGACAATACTGAGTTAGGTGTGATGGTTCACAACTGTAATCCCAGCACTCAGCAGCTAAGACAAGGCCTTGTCTCAAAGAAAAGACAATGATGATCTTTGCATCTCTGTCCAGACTGTACACCATTTTCTTATAAAACAAAACAGGAAAAAGGCAAGGGGTTCAGTGATATTTGGGCACAACAGTGGGGTAAAATGACAGGATTGAGGAGTCAGCCCTTGACTCAGGATAAGTTAAGTTCCTTTTTTTGGATATGATTTGGGATAGTGTCCATAACTCTTAGGTTGTTGTGAATGAATAAATTCTGAACACCTAAGTAGGATTCCTGGCACATAGTTTGATTGGATAATTGTTTGCTATTATAACAGTATAGGTAAGGAGGGACTAAGCTTAAAACAACATTCAATACTCTTCAAAGTTATACTCTAGGCCAAAAATGATTTTCTGAAGATATCTACTGATGTATGGACCACTCTTATGCTCTATCTTATATACCAAATAATATTTTAATATTTTAGATAACTTTATACAAAGCCATCACAATAACTATATGGACATTCTGGAGCTACTAAATTACTTACTGGTGGTGTTAATCATTTATTCTCATTAAAATGTATGTAAGATCAGATCTAGCAGATGCTTCCCCCTCATGTTAGTTTTCTCATATTTCTCAAATATGCAATCCAACAGAACACTAGAAGAAAGTTTTGGCTAAAAGCATGTACATCTGTTATAAATAAGTGCATTTCTCTAAGAATTATTGTAATTAATTTTCTTAAGCTATAACAAATGAATTAAAACCTAATCAATTTGATGCTTCATGAACAGAACAAAATTAGAGAAGTCAGAGATACTGTGAGTTTTATTGTCCATATGGTTACATGACAAATGAATAACTACTTATTCCACTCAGAGATATAATAAAATAACCACATAAAATATTACTAACGTCTGTTATTATCACTGTGACCACCAATATTTTCTGTGTCTCTAGGAAGATCTAAAAGGTGGGGAGGGAAGATCATATCTGTAGGGAGTCATGGGCTAATACTACTTGTATTTGGAGATTGTGGTAAGCAGAATTTCAAAGATGGCTCCCAGGTTCCTGGCTCTTTATCCAAAAATTCATTGAGGTACGTAGTATTGATAAAATTTTACAAATGTAATTAAAGTACCACATCAACTTACCTTAAAATACGGTGGTTGTCTAGGTGGTTCTGATTCTAGCAAATGAGACTTTAGAAGGAAAGATTATTCTTTGGATACCAGCAGAAGAGCAAATCAGAGAAATTAGAAGCACAGTTGGATTCAATATGCCACTGGTGGCTTTGAAGACAGAAGGGGTCATGGAATGAAGAATGTGGGTGTCTTCTAGAAGATGTGAGGGTTTCTTGGATGAAGGCGTGAAATTAGGGACCTAAATCCTACAGCCACAAGGAACAAATTCTCCCAATCATATAAATGAACTTAGAAGTTTGCGATTTTCCCATTATTTTTCAGGTAAAATACATTCAGGAACAATTGGACTTCAGTATGAAGAAAATCCAAGCAGAGATCTCAGGCAAGTCATGTGGGACTTCAGACCTAGAGAAACTGTGGTAATAAATGGGTGTTGTCTAAGCAGATCTTTTTGGTGCAAATTTTTGTGGGTCATGATAGAAAACTAATAAAAATGGCCAATGTTAGAATAAAATTCTAATTTTAGTCTGCTTTACAATAATGTGGTTATGAAAGAAGATATCCCAAAAATCAAAACAAAAGCTCAATTTTTAAATGTCACTGACTTGTGATATCCAATGGGTGGATGGTTAATATCTTTTAAGCTTTTCAACTTTTGGGCTATTCATATTCTTATTATATGCATGTTTAATTTTCCTCCATATGTCTCAAGCAAACCAACATATACTTTTCATTATTAAATACTTGTTGTTGTTTATACTTTTATTTTTTTTAATTTTACTTTATTTTTATTACCATATTATTGTTGTATTGGGGGTGCATTGTGACATTTACAAATTTACAACCCACTTTAGTTAAATTCACCCCCTCCATCATTCTCCTTTATGCCTCCTCCCCAACTTCTTAGAATTGTTATCAAAAGGTCTCAATTTCCCCTTTTCATACATCAGTGCATATTATTTCCACCATATTCACCCTCCTACATCCTTTCCTATATCTTCTTCCCTCCCACTGGTATCAACCCCCAGACAGGGTCTGTTTTACCTTCCATCCTTAATTTTTTAAAAAAGACATTTTTGGTTTTGGGGGACAGCTATATAGGGCTCTTCATTATTACATTTCCATGCATATATTTATTATAACCCAAATTGTTTCATCCCTTCCATTTTTCTTCTTTCTCCCTTAAATTGAATCAAGAAAATATTTATATACCTAAAGAAGAACTACAGTACAGAAATTCTCTCTAAAATTTTGGATTTAGCTATGAATAATGATTAATATGATAAATATATATATGAAAATAATGATTTATAATAAGTGATATAGGACAATGAGAAAAAATTGATAATTTAGATATAGAAATATATTTGACTGAAGGATAGAAATAGTTGAGAAAATACATGAAATGTTTTTAAATGCTGGAGGTGAACTGCCAATTATCTCATGTTTTAACTTTCATATATCAATTTAAAAACAGACTAGACAATGGTGAAAAAGTTGGATTTAAAGTCATCATGGTGAGGTTGTACAGGGTCTTGTACTTTCCCAGTTGGTAAAAGTATAGGTGCATTTAATACCTATAAGGCCAATTTAGTGACATTTAAAAAATTTGAAATACTATTTGATCCAGAATTCTACTTCTATTAATTTATTTATAGATATACTCTCACATGTACGCAGTCATTTATGTTCATGCAAGGGTATTTTTGCAGTTTCAGAACAAATGTAAAATATATACATCTATGTAATGGTGTGGTTTAGCTGTCCTGATATAGAAATATCACCAAAATATTCTAAAAAGAAATAATCAAGGTTCAGAACAGTGCTGATCTTCTATACTTAAGATGTATGATTATATGTATTGATATGTAGTCATGTCACATAGCAAACGCACATATAAGGAAGGTTGCTTATATCTAAATTTTTGCTTCTCAGGAAAAATTCATAAAAGTATGTAAGATACCATTATTTCTAGTGAGTGGAACTTGGGGGTTTGCAACTGAAAGGAAACTTACTTTTCATTGGATGCCTTCTTGTTAACTTTCAGTGCTGTAGTATGGTTATACAAGTTTTAAAAAGCCAGATTTTTTTTTACAAAGCATTCCTTAACTTCTTCCCCACTGTGGATTATCATACCATCTTATATATTTTCTATATTTTGTTTTTTCACAAGCACAGAAATACACCAAATGACTAGTAAGCGTAGCAAAAGTCTAAAATGAGTTGACAGGTCTTTAAAATCATAAAATGCCATCATTCAAAACTGAAGTTATGTGTATTGTTAGATATGGCTTTTTTGCATGTTGAAATTATAATTAATACTTTTCCACATGGCCATTGTAAGTTTTAACACATTTATTATTTTATTCATGCTTTTTTAATGAATTAGGGAAAAACATGCATCAGTGAAAAGAGAAGAATTTCAAAGTTTAACTAAAAACATCTAAATCTTGGCAAAATACATCTGTGTTCATTATAAATTTTTAGTTTTTATAGTACTAATTTGAAATAAGACAGGATATGAATCTATAAAACTTACAAGTTAAACATGATTTATAAGAATATCTGTGAAATATTTTCTCACACTTAGGTTTAATTTTTCTGTACATTTTGTATGCTCATTCCTAATACACTTGATGTTTATTAGAATTACTAAATTTTCACCATATTTTAACATTTTTAGTTATACTGGGTGTAATCATACTATCCTTCAGAACACAGTTGGAAAGTTTGCTGAGTTTTGGTTTTGAGCAGAGAAGTACAATTGATTTCTTATTGTAGGCAGCATTGTGCTATGTTCATCTGAAGCTAGACAAGGCTCCCAATAGGCAAACGAGGTAGACACATGTATGCTTGAGGAGTTTTGCTGAGATTGATAGGGTTTCCATCCAATCGAATGTCTTCTAATGCTTTACGGATATAAGTCAAATTTTTAACATTGCAGAAGGTGTCTTCATGCATCTCCAAAATGTTGTTATTCTAAAAAAGATGAAAATAGATTATAGGACAAAATATACTACATTCTTAGTATTGACTGCTATTGTAGCCTATTTTGCTTCACCTGGTTTTATTCTTTGCTTTTTCCCTCAATTAAGACTGTGCATCATGTGGTTATTATATGTCAAGTACTGTTAAGGCAATGGAGAAAAATCAGTTAACAAAACAGCTATTTTCTTGCCATTATGGAGTTTATAATTCAGTAAGGGAAATATTAAATAAGTCAGAAAATAATTTTAAAGAAAAATGTTTTTTAAAATGGTGAAGTATTGTGAAGAAAGGATAGAGATGGCGAAAAGTAATCTTAAGAGTTAGCAAATGGACTGAAAATAATATGACAGGAAGACATAAGCATGGGAATGGGAAGAACATCCTAGGCTGAGAGAATGTCAAGTTCAAGTTCTGAAGGCTGAGCATAGAATGCTTCTCTCTCCACATCTAACATTCAAGTCAATTTGACTGAAGCGAAGTGAAAGACTGAGGGAGCAAATATTAGGAACATAACAAAGGCCCAGGACTAGATTTTTTATAAGAGTGGTATTGAATGCATTTCCCATACTATAAGCTTCACATACTTAATGCATATAAGTCAATGTTTTTAATATATTCAGAAAACTGTGCAACTGCCACAACAATCTAATTTTAGAATATTTTCAACACCTTCAAAGGAAACCCCAATTATATCAGCAGTGCTTCCACTTTCTCCTTTCCTTTCCCTAGCTCCTGAAAACTACTAATGTGTTTTCTGTTTCTAAGGACTCTCTTATTCTGGATATTTTACATAAATGAAATAATGAAGTGTATTTGATGAATGAGTTTTTTCACTTAGAATCATGTTTTCTAAATTCATACATGCAGCAGTGCTGGCATTTCATTCTTTGCTATTTCCTGAATGTATTGCTTTATGAAGACACATTATAATTTTATTCCTTCATCAGTTAATGGAAATTTGTATTGTCTCCAAATACAAACATTGGCTCTTATGAATAATATCTCAAGACTTTCAAGAATAATTCTTCCATGAATATTTGTGTACAAATTTTGTGTAGAAATTTCAGTTCTCCTTAGTTCTGTAAGGTTAGTAGTAATATCTCCTTTTTCCTTACTAATTTAAGATTTTTTTCTAGGTAATTACAGCTAACAAGAATCTCTTTTTGAGCATTCAAATAACTAACTTTAAGTTTTATTTTTTCTATTATGTTTACTGTGTATTTCATTATTTCTCCACAGGTTTTTTTAGTTCCATTCTTCTTGATTTGGGCTGGTTTCCACTTTTCCTAGTGTTTTGAGATGGAAGGCTAGGTTATACCTTTGAGATCTTCTCTTTTAATACAGGCATTTGTAGCTATATCTTCCCCTTTCTAAACTTAGAAGGAGAACGTACTGCCAGTTATGTTAAAAAATCACCTCATCTTGTACATAGAAGCACATTATTTTAAATATAAAATCAAAGACTCAGTTACTTTGCAGAGTCAGCATCATCCCAGACAATAGTAATAAAGTTAATTCAAAATTGAAAAACACAGTCAAAAATTTCTTTGAAAATCCTCCCTCCAGTCATAAACAAGGCAAGAAATCTAAATATACACAGAAATTCCATTTTCTTCCCCCTGAAAAATAAAAGCAACAAGTCATTCAGAAACAGAATGAGGGTCAGAAAGTACATTAAAGAAAGAAGTAAATGTAATAAAGGTCATAAGAGAGAGTGGCATACAAGACTGACACAGATATATACAAAAAATACCAAAATATGGAAATACATACATTAATAGAAGAAAATCTTTATAGACAAGACAGATGAAAAACTCAGGACCAGTGACTTTTTTATACATAACAAAATCACTTCTTGTAGTATTTTTTACTTTTTCTGTTAAAAAATTACCTTGGACCTCTATGATCTCTGTATATTTATTCCACTGAACAAATGAAATTACCAGAAAAAGCTGATTATAGCTTTAAAGTTCCTCCCATCTGAATAATAATTGGTCTGTCTTCATTTCAACAACCAAAATTCCTTTAACTGAGCACATTTAAAACTCTTGGGTGAAATGAAATATATTTAGAAAATATTAGATCATAACATTTTTGACAATGTGTTTTCACTCATTGCTGCAAGGATAAAATGTGGCTTAATGGGATTACAGTAATCCAAACTTCGAGATATATTTTTTTAAAGAAAGAAAATGCACTTTTTTTTAATCCAGAGAAATAAGGCCTGTCATTTCTCAGCATATGGGAATGCTTTAGGATTGAATTTAATTCAATACATAAAACCTAAAATCAAAAGATGAAATTGACATTTTCCCTTGAAAGTTAGAAGTTCTATTAGATTTTTTTATTTCACCCTTTTCTACTTCTAATCATACACATTTTCATCAGACAAAGCTTTCATTTTTTTTTAAACTCTGTGTACCAAAAAGGTGAATTTTGATATCAAAAAGAATAAAAGTAAATCAAGGAGGCAAGAGTCAGACATTTATAAATACCAAGTGCTCAGATAGGAAGACTGAATGAGAGAAGGAGAAAAAGAAGCAGAAAATTTGTCTTCTGTCAAATTTTCTCAACATGGCAGTAGAGATAGATATTTGTGTTCAACTTCTTTCTGTTTGGTTTTGCTTCTCCTGGAGGTTTTAGGCTCACCTTACTAGTAGAAGCCTACCTGGAGATGAAGGGCCTGCAGGTTTTCTGGGAGTGGCAGAGGAATATGGTCCAAGTTGTTATCCGTGAGATAGAGATGGTGGAGATCATACATGTCCTGTAAGTATTCCAAATGCAGGGGCTTAATAGAAATACCCCTCTATGTAGCTGTTTTTAAAATAGCATGGGCCTATTCAGGTCTTGTTTTCTAAATTACTAGACAATTCAACCACGTTTTGGAAAATTTGGTGCAATGGTTTCTTTATGAAACTGAAAAGCACTTCTCAATTTCTAGCATGAACCTTGCCTTGTTCACTATAATTTTCTCAATTTAGCAAGGCAGTTACTTCCCATGGAAGACATTCTGCAATTAGGTTTTGAAGATTTTGGTGAGACATAGCAAGAAGTTCCTTGATTTTACAGGCATGTTGGAATGATAATTTTCTCCTGGTTGCCTAACAAGGAAAAGGACAACTTAGCAAGACAGAAAACATTTAGACAATAACTGGTCTAATCTCCCTAAACACTACAGAAAAACAAGTGACTTAGCACCACCCACACAACTGATCTCTACTTTTGTGAGGCTATAATGGTGCCTAACCCACCATTGGCAGGGGGCATAGCAGAGAGAGAGTGGTGATGGCATATCACCCCACAGTGACCTCCCTGAGAATAAAGTGGTTTCCCTTCAAAGAATATTTTAAAATTATTTGCTCAAGGTATATTTAGAGGAGCAGCTTGAACGGGGTAAGGATGGGTAAAAAAACTATTTGGTTACTGTTCTCTGACTCCATAATAATTACTCTGAGTTAGTCCTCTAACCCCAAACCAGCTTCCTTCACTTAGAAATGTTTTTTAGTTTGTTTGTTTTTTGGCAGCACTTCTGTTTGAACTCAAGGCCTCATGTTTGCTAGGCAGGCACTCTTACTACTTGAGCTACTCCATTAGCCTGCTTCACTTAGAAAACAAAATCTCTAAGGTTAACTGAATCCCTACTCCTTATAGGGAAATTTAAAAATCTTCTGTCCTCAAGACAGACTGCTCAAATAGTTATCCTTTCATCCTCGTGAAGTTTTCTTCCTGAGTAGAGTTTTCTGTCTTATACCACTTCCAGGAGGTCCTTGTGAATGGGTGCTCCAAGTAGCCACGCACTTCTTATTCCAGCTTTACTTTTTGTTCATGGTGCTAGAATGTACCAGAACACAGCATTTTTCAGAAGTATGATGATAGGGTAGAGAAATTTATTTTGGAAGATAAAAGTCTCAGTAAATTAAATCTCAGAGAAATGAAAAGGCTAGTCATGGACAGCAAATGAACAGGGAAGATGAAACTCTCTATAGGAACTGAAAACCTACTTTAAATGCTTCTTGCTTAATTCCTTTCCTTCCAAGTCTATTGTTGCTAATATCAATAAACGTCAGTGTAGTTGGTAATTCTGGTAGCTGCCTTATTTTGTTATCACGCAGGACAAGTTCTCGAAGTCGAGGCAGCTTTCGGAATGCATCTTCATCAATCTCAGATATTAAATTTGATGTCAGATCAATCCTTTTTAAATCATCTAGAAGAAAAAATGATGAAGCTAAATAATCTTGAATATAGTTGCTCATATAAAATATGCATATAAAATTTTCCACATGGTGAAAATATAAATGTAACAAGTATTGGACAGTTAATGAAATAGTTATCTATTTTATAAACATTTATTTCCCTCAAGTACAATTTGTGGTCATATGTATATAGGAAACAGTAACTTTTGCAAAGAAATTAGCAGGTTATTTTTAAAATGATGGCCTATTCTCTATACTTCTCATGAGCGTTGTCTGAATTTTACTAATTAAAACATGTTCCTTGTGAAGGGTGTTGTATTTTCTAACAGCCAAAATACAGATAATAAAAGGAAATCTTCAAATGATTATAATACTTTATGAAAGCAAGTACTGAAATCCTTATAAGTTAGTAGCAATGATAAAGTGAGAATTTAGGCTGACATTCATCCATGATAAAGCAACTGTGCCTTTAAAGGAAGCTTTTTCCAGTTAAATCCTTGTAAATAAATGATGACATTTTTCTCTTAATGCCACAAGAACTAGAACATATAATACAATTATGATTTATATTTACTTACAATAACAATATATAGTTTTATAATGGCCATAAATTGTTTATTCTTTCTTCTTATCATTATTAAAACAAACTCTCAAGTATATAAATAAGAAGAATAGACTTATGAGAAAATTTGATTTATGAGCTACATTTTATCATTCAAGTTTCATTCTCAATACCAACATTTTATAACATAAAAATTTCAGGGACATCTATAAAGAAAGGACATTACTGCTGTCTTCCGTACTTAGGCTTGCAAAGTCATTTTTGTTGATCTTTTTAATTCTGTTGAAACGGGAATAGAAATAAGCAGTGTTCTTGGGCAGTGGAGGAATAGCATCTAGTTCGTGGTCATCACAGTAAACGGTAGTACTTATACAAGTGCACAGAAGGCAAGTTGGAAAGTCTGAAAGGTAAAGGTAAGTAATTATACATAAGTAACAAAAATTTTCTATGAATAATGTGGTTAAGAATATTTAGTAAACAAGACTAGACTATTCCACAGACTGCCCTGGTGTATGTCCTGTTTTGTCATAGTTATTTATTTATAAGGTAATAGTAAAGTGAAATATGTCAATTCAGTCTGCCCCTATTAGATTTTAAAGTATCTATTTTAAGTTATGAAGTGGATATATCATGGTTGCTACTTTTATACTTATTAAGAATTCTGTGTTTGAAATATAAGTATTAAGATCGTGCTTTTTATGTAATTAACATGTCATAATATTTCCATTAAATCTTTGATTCAATATTTAAATATTCCATGCAATACATATTATATAATTATATATAGCTGGCTTCATGGTAGCTGGTGAAACAGTGGTGCACACAGTTCAGTTTTATGATCTGCTGTGAGGTGAATGTTAGTTACCCAAATACCATTTTGACTATGATGGCATACAGTGTTTGGCTCAGTTGGGGAGTCCTGGAAGGGGGTCTCTGAGGAGATGATAGTTGAGTTGAGATCCATGGGAAGAAGAGTTCACTATGGAAGTAAGAAGGGAAGATTATGCCAGAGAGAGGAAGCAGCATGTACCAAGACCCTTCATTTTGGAGAGACATGGGAACAGGGGAGTCATAACAGATAGAGGTTTTCTAGGCTATTTTACAGATATTATTTATTATTCTAAAGATGGTTTGGAGTATTACATATTTGTTTTTCATTCTAAGAGATCATTCTTCTTGGATATATGGTGGAAGAGTGAAAGAGGGCAAGTAAGAAGAAGAGTAGACATGAGTTGCAGAGGAAAGAGTGGAGGTGAGTCCTAGATAAAACATGGTAGAGCTTAGCTAATGGTGATGGTGATAAGGAAGGAAGGTAACAAATCCAAGATGTTTGTGAGGCTATTTTTTCTCAACACGTTCATTTATTTCTTTTTCTCCAGACACACACACACACACACACACACACACACACACACACACACATGTCCCTTCACCATTTGTTTACTCTCCATGTAGAGAATGGTGAGCTGCTAAGGAACAGGAGAAGCAATGACCAGAAGGAGAGGATGAAAAATGGGATAGGGCTATATTATGGAAACCAAGTGGATTGAGAGTTGTAAGGGAAAAGAAATAACTAATGGCCTACTTTGCGAGGTAAATTAAGAACTGAAAGATATTCCTCAATTAATTATTTAAGAGATAACCAAAGACTACAAAATCTGTAGAGTGATGGGGTTAAAATCAGGTTATAGTCAACTAAGGAGAAATTTGGAGGGAAGAGAAAAGTTAATATTGATATAATGTTCTCGAGAGGTTTTGTAAAGAATGAGAAATAAAAAATGGTAATTACTGTAAGAAGGTGTATTTGTGCTTTTCTGGTAAGAAGAAGTGATTAAAGAGGATTTTAAAGAAGGAGTTCAAGAGAGGAGATGTTGAATATCAAAGGGATCCTAGGAAGGTGTAAGAAATGGAACTTGATGTGTAGTGACAAGGATTCACATCCCACAAGAGGAGAACACAGTTCTAGCACAGTTGTGCTAGAAAGAGAGATAGGATACATAAGTATTAATGTAGGCAGATTGTGAATGTGGAACAAAAATACCAAGGAGTTGCTGACTCAGAGAGTGCATTTTCTCTGCTAAGTGAGAGTTTAGGTTATCTGATGAGCTTGAGGGGTAAAGGATAGAAGTGGCCATGGGTTGTGAGATGTGAGGAGAATGGAGCAAGTGAAATTAGAGACTAGAAGAAAATGATGGAAGAAATGTACTGAAATTGCTTAGTTATTACTTTGTCTTGGTTTACCTGGAACTTTCCTAGTTTTATTTATTTAAAGCCACTGAGCCGAGGAACTCCTCATACTCAGACTAACAGGATATTTGGTCACTCTAACTACAGGTCAATCTTGTCCATTTGTAGGCTCAGTTAGTGATGAATATCTGCTTCCTAAGACTGAGTGAAGAGAAAAAAAACACTGTTTTTCAATAAATACACGATCAAGAATCCCAACAGGCTAGCTTAAACCCAATGTACTAAGAACTATGTGATATCTTGTAAATTATTGTCCTCTCTTGAGTTATAGCTTCCTCAATGATAAAGAAAAAGTAATATTAACACTCTCACAAGGAGGTTGTAATAGTTAAATGAAATAATACAAAGTGCTCAGCATGATGGCTCACAGATGACATATGTGTAATCAGTGTAAAATGTTATAACTATCATCATCCTCATCATCCATTATCACCCTACAACCAACTGTGGTGACTCGATCTCAAAGGCATAGATTTTATCTTGCTAATCCATTAAATACTCTTTGTTCCAGAACTATATGCCACAACAGAGGTTTTGAGTAAAGATGTCAGGCCAATATTTCAATCCCAATTCTTTGGTTATTTGTTCATGAATTATAACTACTTTACATTTGAATGCAAAAATACATGTGTAACTCTTGTTTCACACCTAGCTTATTGCAGCATTTCTAAACTTTCTCCTTGTGTCATGCAGGTTCCCTGTGGAGTTGGAGCCTGGCAGTTTTGAGAGATGACAAAGTGGACTCAATTATAATTCACCATTGATGTACCTGACCTTCATTGGTGTGTGGACCCAGAACCCCTGTGAATTCTGGCTCCTGTGGAGAGGAGCCATCAATCAGCCTTGGTGTGGATTCCTCATCCTCGTCTTCGTCCTGGGCTCCCCCCAGCTCTGGGGCAGGAGTGAGGGCCATTCTGTTCCCTGATGGCATCACTGTCCTTCTTTTGATCTGAACAAAACAAGAAACAATTTTATCAGGCAACCTTAGCACCTTGTTTTTCAGTGACACAAATTTAAAATATATCTATTGTTGCCACAAGATGTCACTCATGTTTTGGTGTTCAACACAATGTGCCTGGCCTGCTGCCTGGAAGAGCACATATGGTTCTAGCAATTCTCATTGTTGTTTTTAATGAATTTTGTTTCCCAAATCTTGGAAATTATTTTCAATATCTTTTTTCACCCCTCTTTTGTTTTTTTAACATCTTATATGTTTGCTTTAAAAGTTCATTTATTATTTTTTGCTGAGCTATTATTTTACAGGAGTAAATTATTGTTGAGAAAGATTCAAATTAATCTAGATGTGCACCAAGTAAAATCCAAATGTCTCCTTTATTCCCCAGCTCCAATTCTACTCCCTTGAGATAATAACTGATAAGAAATGGATGTGCATTTTCTGCTTTTAATTCTTCATTTGTTGGATTCAAATATTCTCTTTCTTACCAACAGCTTGCAGAACTTCTATTGGAATTTTACAGGAAAGTATCCTTTCTGCTAAAATAGAATTTATAGTGATATTAAAACCATGTGAGTTAATAGTTATATGCAATTTTATAATATTTTCCATATTATTTGAATAGCAAATGCTACAAACAATACTTGATTATGTTAAAACTGACCTTTTTGAGAGTTTTGACAATAGAATGCATTCACAAAATTGCAAAAAAATTTAATATTTTCAGATTACACTTGTTTTCAAATTATACTTGTTTTCTCTTTATTTACTTGCATATTTTATGTAAGGAGTTGCTGCTTTTAATTATATGGCTTGCATTTAGAATAAACCCTTACTTTGAAATAATATCCCTAAGCTCAATGTTTATTCCTTTGTATTTCACTGGTATATGTCTTCCTCCCTGATGAGTTTGAAGACTTAGGCTGGAAATTTGCTCAGACATTTGGGGAACCAACACTCAAGGACCCTCTTTTTGATCTGTTGTTCTCATTTTTCAGCAGAAACCCCAGAATCTTCCTTGACTACACCAATATGAACTTTTTGCTCTCTTTTGCCTTTTACTTGCTTTCATTGAAAAAGCAAAAACACCAATTGTTTTCTAGATTACTTCCTGCCAAAATGATGTACAAACTATTACCTCCATTTGTAAAATAGACATAGGCATATAATTAAACTTGATAGTTTTCTTGTTGTTTAGATAACCATATGATATTTTTAGAAGAAAGCAAAGATTTATTAGGATGCCAGTAAAAGAAGAGAATGATGGGTGACTACATAAAGGAGCATGGGGTCAACTATAGGATGTTAAAGATAAACTTATTATTCAATGTCATTTTTGATGGATTTGAATACATAACATGACAAATGCAAGAAAACCTTTCTAAGAAACATTAAGGCTCCTTTCGTGCTTTCATAAAGTCTGTCTGTGTCAGCTTTTCCTATCCTGTGTTATACTGGTTGTCTCAGATTTTTGCATAATCAAGACTACTGGGTGGTAAACTGAGTTATATCTTTTATCATTATTCCTCTATGCTGTATAATATGCAGTCAACAAGTACTTTTGAAGTATAATTTTTAAAACTTGCTTATCCAAGGTATATTTAATTCATAGCTCTATGCTT